AAAAAAAGATAATCTAAATATGAAAATGGTATAAATTAGTATGCACAATTAATTATTCAGTAGGCTATTCACTCATATATAAGTAACAATAACAGTCAGATACCAATAACAAAAATTCAGTTAACTGATATGGCAGTAATATATCATGCACCTCTAGCCTGCTGGCTACATCTGAATTTTATAACCATTAATAACTATTATTGTTCTTATTAAAAGAACTCCAGATCAAACCTAACCATAAAATTGACATAGGCTAGCGGTTTATACTGCATGTAAACTTAAAGACTGTGTGTGTGGTTAATGGAAAGCATAAAGGTTAAAAGCCACAAGCATAGCCTTTGCTGCTGTTTTGAGCAGCCTGCTTGCCGAGCATGTTAAAGGACAAGGCCAGGCGGCACAGATCATATGTCTACGTGTCAACGGTGGGGGATGATGGGGGAGAGAATGCACATTAAAATGAGCATCTGAAGTACATCACACTGCTCATGACAGAAGTCGGAGATCGATATTTAAGGTTATCTGCTAATTTTCCCTAAAAATGGATGCACTTCCAAAGGAGTTCCACAGACGAACACGCTGTGACAGTGCCGGTGAGTTCAAAGTTTGACAACTGAACTGATTGAGTGTGAACAGGCAACAGATGGATAGTGCTGAGATAGTTTACAGACAGCATACGCTGTCAGGATAAGGCAACATTTTGTTTTTTTTTATTTACTGATGATTGATGTATTAGTGACATTTGGATGTACAGTTTGCTAAATGGAGCTAAAATTTGCTATAGAACCAGGAGATAAAATGATTAACATGTTTATTTTAGTCACTAAGAAGCACAAGCGGCACATGTGGTCATGGGTGTGGTATGTGTCCAGGAAGTTGTCTCAGGGCAAAAGTGTCAGATATCAAGAGTCAAAGGGGAAGAGCAGGGAGTGGACACTACGCCTGCTTGCTTGTACGAAAGCTTCCTGAGACATTATTAAGGTTGTTTTTGAACTATTCTTAACAACAAACACACAAACCAGAACATGAAGACCCTTAATCTTTATACAAACAGAAATAAACACATGAAAACTTACAAGTAAACTTAAATCCTGATGAACATAAATGAACATACATATAGAAATGGCACTCAAATTTAAGGTGTAACAAATCAGCTCATGACAGGAAATATGAATAACTAACCATAACTAGTT